CTGCGCGGCGGGAGTCCCCAGAAAGACGGCCCCAGGGGGGCGGGGGTGCAGAGCGCGTTCCGGGCGGCCCCGAGGGGCCGGGGCTCCTCCAGCCTTGCTCTGTTTCCCGGCCCACGCCTCTGGACGGGGGCTCTGGAACCTTCCACCCCTGGCTGGCAGCAGGCCCTGTGAACATGTGGCCACACTGTGCGCTGTGGACGCTGCTGCTGGAGCTGAGGGCGGCCCGCGGCGCCCTGAAGACAGGCTGGACAGTGAGGCCTCTTGTCCCGGGGGCTGCGCCTGTGGATTAAAATCCACCCCCGAGTCCTGGGGCGCAGACACAGCGGTGAGGTCCGTGAACCAGGGCGTGTCGAAGGGGTCCCGGACGCTCTGCTTTTCTGGGCAATCGCCGACCAAAAGCGCGTCTTCCACGGAAGGTTGAACCCAGCCCGGAAGGAACAAGCAAGATCTGTGTTAACGAAACTGTATTTTGACGTGTCTCCCCAACTTCTGTCCAGGCGTGGCGTCATCCAGGAAACACCCCCAGACCGCAGGCCGCAAGCCACCGCCCAGGGCCTTCTGCTGCCCCAGCGCCGCGTCCGTCTCGCGGCCCGGGGATTCGGCAGCGGCGGACCGGGCGCGTTCAGCTCCTGCGGACAGTGGGGCTCCTTCCTGCAGCGCCAGGGCAACCCTCTCAGCGCTCCTTCGCCCGCCGGGGCGGGCCGGGGCTGACCCAGAAGGGCCCGTGACCCAGGACTCGGTGCCCGGAGCGGGTCTGGCAGGAGGTGGCTGCGTGGGGGAGGCGGAGGCAGGACGTCGCAGGCGCTGTCACCCGCTGCCAAGGCTTGGGCCTGTCTCTCGGGGCTCCCGGTGAGCTGTCACTGGCGCTTCTGGGCTTCAAGCTGCGGAGAGGAGGGTGCCTGGGGCCCGCCCAGCCCAGCCGCCCGCCCGGTGGCCTCTGGCAGGAGCTGGCACCCGAGGGCGCAGAGGTGGGGAGGAGCGGCCAGGCCCAGCGCTGCTGGCGGGCGGACCTGCGCCTCCCCTCTCAGGCCACCCCGCTCTGGCCCTGAGCAGCCCTGGGGGCCGGGCCCATCACACTGAGGCTGGCGGGCCTGCTTGGGGCTCCTGCTGGCCGTGGTCCCGCTCCACGGGCGCCTCTTGCCGAGCCCAGACCAGCCTCTTGGGCTTACACAGGAGAGTCCGGGGAGGGGGTGGGCGCCCAGACCCGGCCCGGGTTATGGTGGGGGGCCCGGGCGGGGTGGGCCGCAGCCGGGAGAGCCATCCCAGCAGCTCGTGCTGGCCCCGGGAGGCCCCGGCCGGCGGGCGGGCGGCGCTGGCTCTTCCTGGCCTCAGGCCTGTCTCGGGACAGAGGCCCCGCTCGTGAGCCCTGCTGGGGGCGCGGAGGCGGGTGCTGTGTGCGGGGACCTCGGGGCCCAGATGGGCTCTCTGGGGGCTCTGGCAGCCGTGGGAGGGCTGCCTCCCGGGACCCGCTGCGCTCTCCCCCCAGCGGACAGGCCTGAGCCCACAAGCTGGAGAGGCGAGGACTGGGTGGGCGCGGCCGCCGCCCCCCGGGGAAAGTGACCTGGGGCGCTGGGCAACAGCGCGAGGCGCGTGGCGTAAACTCGGTTTGTCTCACTTGAAACATTTCAGGGAAAAGGATGCTTTTACCCCCATCACCTGGAGAGCTGCTTCGGCTCTTGTGTTCACAGGTTGTGTTTCTGAGTCCTCGATTCTTAAATCCCGTGAGTTCGTGGAAACGACCTTCTTCCATTAAAGAGAACCCGGTGCCCGCCCCGCCCCCGCGTGTCCTGGTGCCTGGTTTGCAGCGCGACGGCAACAGGCGCCCCTGACCCAACGTTCTGGGACCTTCGACTCAGTTACAAGCCCCACAGGCGCAGGCCGCGGCCGCCCGGGGCTGAGCGGACACACCGGCGGCCGGGATGCCGTCGGGTCCTTCCTGGGAGAGGAGGCGCGTCCCTGGAGACACCAGCTGCGTCCTCAGGGTGCTCCTCGGGAAGGCCTTGCGGCTCCTCTGCCCTCGCCCTCGTCACCGCAGCCGAGACAGAGTCCCCCAAGCCCCCCTGGCTGGTGCGAACCCTCAAATCATGCTGTGAATGGCAGCCGAGAGCGCAGGGCCGGGCAGCGCCCCAGGGGCCCCTGAGCCTGCAGCGTCCCGGCCGGGAGGGCGTCTACACCCCCGGGTCGCACGTGCACGTGATAAGAATGCAGTGCGCGAGGGGGGCTGGGGACACCTGAGCGAAGGTGCGCAGGATTGTTAAGGCGGCGGCGGCCCTGCCGTCCTCCCTGGGGGCGTGGCGAGCGCGGGGACCCCCGTGCAGACGGACCCCAGGACGGTCCTCAAGCCCCTCGGTCGTGCCGCCGGCAGCTCGGGCCCCGGTCTCGCAAGTCGCGGGCGAGAGGACGCGCGTGCCTGGCTCGCCCTCCCCGCTGGCCCCCCGCGCCCCGCCGCCTCCCTTCTCTCCTGCAAAGGGGGCCACGGCCTTAGGGCACTGGGGCGGGGCGGCTCTTTCCCGGCTGGGCTGGAAGTCACGGGGACGCCGGTGCCCGGGCCAAGCCGCGGGGCTGCCCAGACCTCAGCTCTGGGGTCTGTTGCGGGACAGGACGGCTCTGCCCGGCCGCTGCCGGGGGGCGTGGGGAGACGGGTGGGGCCCGCGGGGTGGCGAGGCCGCGGCGGCATCAAGCCTCACGGGCCGCCGGCTGGGGCGGAGGCTGGCGCGCGAGGCCTGGACTCGCGGCTGAACGTTTCCTCTGAACCGATCCTGAGCCGGGTCCTTGCGCTGCCGCAGGCTGACGCGTGTCCCTGAACCCGGGGTGGCCCGAGGCCTCCCCGGGGGCGGGTCGCGGGCAGAGCGGAGGCACAGGCGGCCCTGGAGGCGAGCGGGGCCCAGAGGTGGTGCGGGCTGGAGCCCCGGAGGCCAGCGCCGGACGCCAGAGGCGGCGGCAGGGAGAGGAGGCGGCGGCCGAAGCAGGCGGGGCTCGGAGACCGCGGCTCCCCTCCCGGTCCCGGCTCGGGCCGGTGCCGACACCGCTCTCGAGGCCCTCCGAGCCCTCCCGCCCTGAGCGGCTGGGAACAGGGCAGAGGAGACGCAGAACAGCCCCTGTCGCAAGATCACGGGCGGTGGCTCCGGCCTGGTGACCCGGCACAGGACGGGGGACTCCCCGGCCTCCAGCCCAGGAGGGCCCGGGACGCTCCGCGGCTGGCGTCGTCCCGCCAGGTGCCCACAATGCGACCAGCCCAGGGTGCTTGCTCTGCCCGCGCAGACCTCGGGCCGGGCGCCCAGGGCAAGACAGGCTGCACCTCTGGGGGCAGCGGGCCCCTGAACGGGGCACGGACAAGCGGGTGCAGGCGTCGTCCCTAGCGCTCTCCCGGGCTGATCCCCGAGAGGGGAAGACGCGGCACCAGAGGGCACCCCAGGAGCTCGGGAGCCTGCCCCTCCCGGGGGGCTCAGGACTCTGTGGCCACCCCGAGAGCAGCTTCTAACCCAGCCCCCGCGACGCCCTTGGCCCCGCAGCAACGCGACAGCCGAAACCCAGGCGCTCTGGTGAGACTTGGCACACAGTAGGGACGCAGGAAATCCTGGTTGGACACGTCACTTCTCCGTTGGACAGAAATGGACTCTGACTATTCTGAGGTGCCCGAGTGGCTCTGCTGACACATCGAGCCAATGCAGACACACTCCCGACCGGCCGGCACCCCTCACGCCATCTGCGGCGTCCACGCACGGCCGCGCCCGGCCAGCCCTCGCCGGCGCGGCCCAGGGAGCTGCCGTCGAAGAGCCGAGGGGCCGGCAAGGGCAGAGCTTCAGCTTCCTCCCGCTGCTGAGGGCAGGGCGGTGCCCTGGCCCTTGGCACTCCTCGGCCCCCCGCCGCGAGAAGAGGGGTCATTTTCACGAGCATTTCTCTCCAGAGAAAGGAGCCACGATTTCCAGCTAGTTCGCGAAGGTTCTGTGAGCTTAGAAAACAGAAGAAAGGGCCAGAGCCACCGCCGCCGCCGGGGTTCCGGGAGGCCTCCCCTCCCCGGGGGGGAGCCCAGCTCCGATCACTCCAGCAGCACCGTGCCGACCCCTCGCAGCCGTGTCATCCAGGAAAACGTTTTACAAAGGAACTGTATAAAAATAGACTCAGGAAGGTTTTCAACTCCCACACTGGCCGCGTGCGCCCCCCGCTTCCTCACCGATCTCCCCGCGAGCTTCCTTTTCCTGCCCCGCGAGCCTGTCCAGGTGGCTGCAGAGATAGACGCCGCCGCGGGGACGGCAGCCCAGCGGGAGGATTTTAGGAGAGAGAGAAACCGCGAGGGATAAGCTCTGAGGCTCACGGCAAAACAATGAGGCCACCGTCCCGGCCGCTCGAGTCCCGGGCGCCCTGTCCAGCAGGGACCGGGATTCCCCGCCCGGGAGAGGCCAGGGACCCCGGGCACGCGCCCCCTGGGCATTGGCTTCCGGAGAGAATCACCGGGAAGCCTGACCCCTGCCGGCTGCCCGCTGGCTCTGGCACGGCCCACACGCTGACCCCTGCTCCGAAGCAGCCCCGAGCCCGCCGGGAGACCCAGCCCAGAAGAGCCCGAGTCTCGGAGCGCCCGGGGTTGCCTCCAGATCCGGAGGTGCTGTGAACCCTCAGATACGTGTGAATGGCACAGGTTTTTTGGGGGGGGCTGTGACTGAACAGGCGCTTCCCTGGGAGGGGCCTGGAGCGCGGCCCATCTTTTCTGAAAACCCACCTGGTTTTCGCTGCTCGTTCCTGAGCGTTGCAGGAGAAGCCGACGGAGATGCCCGCCGAAGCAGGGAAACTGCCAGAGGCACACCTGTCCTGCCACCTGCTTTAAAAAATAACCGCCCGGAAAAGGACTTCCCAAGGAAAGCGAGCGGCGGCAGAAACGTCCGCAAAGGCAGGCGGACACGCGGACACGCCGGGCTCGGCCTGCGGCCTTTCCAGCCGGGAACGGCGCGTCTCCCCGCCAGCCACGCGCCGCGGGGCCCAGGCCGAGCGGGCGGCCCCTTTTCAATGAGGACTACCAGGCGCCAAGCATTCAGTTTAGAATATTTTAATGTCCATTTCTTCAGTGGGTGCGCTTTGAAGGGATCAGAACGAGCAATTTAGAAAGAGCAGAGCAAAGCTTTTGAGAAACACCCACAGTTCTTGCTCATCTAACTGGAGGTCGTCGGCCGGCGCTGACAGCCCTCGGGCGGGCCGCGACCCCAGCCCTGGCGAAGCAGCCCCTCCCCTGCCCGGGCCCAAGCTCATGTGCGGGGGGGAGGGGGTGCAGCGAGCCGGGTGCCTTCCCAGCTCCGCTGCTCGGCCGGCCGCCCCGGGCCGCGTGTGTGCTTGTGTCTGATATTGGTGCGCGTAGGTTGATCCGACGGGCCGAGAAGAAAGTGGCAACTGGGAATCAAAGCAACTATTTACACACATTCGGTTTAGCCGCTCGGCCCAGGCTGCGTCCTCAGCAGCTGTGCTGTCCAGCGGAGACCCCGCCGGTGCCAAGGCGGGCTTGGGCCGAGGGCCGGCCACCGAGGGCCGGGCGGGGACGTCTGGTCAGACCCTCTGGGAGGCGCGGCGTGTTTGAAAGACTTTAAAAGGTGGGTGCGCTGCCCATGGAGGCTGTGCGCACTGAGCCCGGTGTCTCCGGGCCGGCGGCTGCCCCCAGGTCGGGGGAAGGTGGGGGGGCAGGGCTGTGTGGCAGAGCAACGCACAGGCTCTCAGCGGCCGCGGCTGCCAGGAGGCAAAGGCGGGGCTCGCACACCCCGGCCAGAGAGAGACCCCAGCCACGCAGCCCTCCGTGCAGGGAGGGCATCAGGTAGCTTTTCCAAGAAGAAATAAAAGCAAAGGCCCATGGCGCCTGGAAGCCACATTCTTTGGAAGCACGAGGTATCGGCACCACCGCCCACGCGCGGCCCAGGGACCCCAACGAGACTCGGCGCTGGTGGCGGGAGGGCGGGTGCTGTGGCTCGGGGCGGCCGCAGGCTCGGAGACAGCGCAGGGCATGTGGGGGAGACCCGGAGGAGGGGCTGGACCTCCGTGTCCCAGCCAAGCCCATCCTGGGGCAGGGAGGGAGCGGCGGAGTCCAGTTCCAGGTCAGACTCCACACGGGCGTCGGCAGACAGGACTGGACGCTGGGCACCGCGGTGTTTCCTAAGCCTGGGCGTCCCCCGCTGGCCGTGCTGGGGCAGGGCCGTCCAGCCTGTAGTGAAGCTGCCTGGACACAGGATGCCCCCAGGGCAGGGCGGGCCAGATCTCGGCCCAGCGGCCTTCTCATCCCACCCCTGCGGCAGGGAGCCTGCACCCAGAGCTGTGGGGCCCGTGAAGGGGGCCCTAGCTCCACCAAGGCCACACGCCAGGGGGGGAGGCCCTGAGGGACCCCCTGAGGAAGCCTTCTCCCCCTCCCTGAAACACATCCGGTTCCTGATTAAATAAATAAATAAATAAATGCAACCCTCAGGACATTTATTTTGCGACACTTCAACTTCAAAGACAAAGCCCTTTGCTCCTGCTGGGGGACCCCCGGTGGCTGGGGACGCCTGGCTGCAGAAAGGAAACCCGCTTTCAACACCTGAGGCTGGAGCCTGGGTCACAGGCTAGATCAGGCGGGTCTGGGGTCTCCGCAGCAGGTGAGGAAGCCCCAGGCTAGGAGCAGGGCCCTGGGGGCATGGGGTGGGGGCCTCCGCTGCGGCTCCCGGAACTGCCCGCTGCGGGTACTGGCACTTAATCTCAGGTCATGGATGCAAGTGTGTGTGTGTGCGGCTGTGCGTTTACATAGGAGGCAGGTAACTGGGGCACTATCGTGTATAGAGAGCAAAATAAACCTCAAGACCCTTGTATCAGCGCAAAAAAGGTGTCTGGTGAGAAAAAGCAATAAAAGTGATATCTGAACCACAGCTTTGTTGGGAAAGGCCATCGCCACCCCACGCCCGTCTCCCCGCTGGACTCCTCGCTGGACTCTGGGCGAGGCCGCCCCAAAGGCACTTGTTCTCCGAGCTGCCGGGTGGGGCGGGGGAGAAATGCGTGATGTGGACCTGAATCATTGCGATCCAGACAGAAGTCAGGCGGCGGCCCCAGGACGCCGCCTCCAGGCAGGCGCCGGGGCTGAGAAAGCACAGCCACCGATGCCAGCATGGCCAGCGGTGGGACGAAGAGCTCCCCGGCAGCCGGCGCCTCACACGCCCTTGGAGACGTCGAGCCGGGTGAGCTCGTTGGCATCCTCCAGCCCTGTGTCCTCGTGGTCGGCCTTCCCGACGGCTCTGCCAAACCGGCACCTCTCTTCGGCCCTGCCGGGGTCCCTCCACGGCCGCTTGGCGGGCGGCTGGGGGTCCTTGGCTGGCGCGCCGCTGTCAGAGCCCAGCGAGGCCCTGTCGGAGCTCTGGACAGAAGGCACCAGGCTGGCGATCTCGTCCGTGGGGGACCGCCCGATGCTGCCGTCCACCTGGACGCGGATGTCCGGGGAGATGGACAGCTGGTGCTGGGGCACGAGTCCGCTGTCCGTGCACCTGGGGTACAGGTAGGTCTTCATCTGGCCCTTGCCCTTGACATTCACGGTGCCCCGGTAGTCGAAGTCGTAGCCCATCTTGCTCAGGACGCGGTAGCTCTCCTCGCTCACCTGGATGCGGCACTCCACGCCGGTGGTGTCCATCCTGCTGGCGATGTTGACCGTGTCCCCCCAGATGTCGTACAGCAGCTTGGTGGTGCCGATGACGCCGGCCGTGAGGGGCCCGTGGTTGAAGCCCACGCGCAGCTTGAAGTTGAACCAGAGCATGTTGTTGTTGAAGTCGTCCACCACGCGCATCATCTCCCTGGCGAACTCGAACAGCAGCTGCAGGTGGCCCTGCGGGTGGCCGCCGTCCTGTGCCTGCGTGGCGTTCAGCCCCGCCGCGGCCATGTACGTGGCCCCGATGGTCTTGATCTTCTCGATGCCGCCGTAGGCCGGCTTGCCCAGCAGCTCGTCGAAGTCCCCGATGAGCTCGTTGAGGACGCGGTAGCACTCCTTGCCGCCCTCGTAGTTCTCCTCGTAGAACTCGCTGAAGTTGACGACGCTGGCGAAGATGACGGCCCCGCAGTCGTGGTTCTTGGAGTAGGTCTGGGACACCTTGAGCTGCTCGGCCACGTGGTAGGGGATGATGTTCCGCAGCAGCCAGTCGGCCTGGTCCCGCATGCTCTGGATCTTGGTGCGGTGAAGGTCAGCCTCCACGTCGCCGTGGTAGTGCAGGCGGTAGCTGACCTCGAACTCCCGGTTCAGGAACCAGACCAGCAGGAGCAGGAGGAAGAAGACGAGGATCACCTCCTGGCCAAGCAGGCTGGCCTGAAGCCGGCCATTCCGCGGCAGGGAGTTGTTGCACCGGGTCCTCTCGGAACTGGGGAGCAAAGAGAGAGGTGCGGCTTTTAGGGGTGCGGGCTCGCAGGCTCACCAGGCCCTGCCCGGGTGGCATCCGCCTCACGCCCGACACCTGCCCGGAGGCTCGCCCTGGCCGCTAGCTGACCCGGCACCGGCCGCTTGCCCACGTGCCGGGCCGCGGCCATGGTCAGGAGTCTCTGCTCCGGGCTTTTGGAGGTCATTTCCTTCCCCAGCTATGTGATCTGAAGCGTCTCAACCCCACAAGAAAGTTGAAAGACTTTAGTAAAACGCTCATGCCCGCTTCTCCTGGACCCAGCACTGCCAGCATTTTGCCACTTTGCCTTTTCCCTCCGTCAGCAATGCGCACATTCACGCACCCACGGGCATGTGAATACACCCACGAATGCACATACTGGACACACAGCACACGTACTCTCCTGAATACACTCATACAAATACGCACTCACGCAGGCACACTTGCACTCAAGTACACACACTCATGTGCACACTCACACATGCGCATGCCTCATGCTGACCCTGACAGCCAGCAGCCACACCGTGGCCCTGGCCCCGACTGTCTGGGGCTCTGTCTCCTGGGGGTGGCGCGTCCAGCCCACAGCCCCGGCATGCCCAGGCCCCCCGCAGTGTCTGACGAACATTTCCTTGCTTTCTCGTTCCACTTTAGCTCTGAAAGATTTGTAACGTCACAAAGAATTTTTCCAAGTTCTCTCCTCTCCGTGAATACGAGTTTGGCAAGACACCACCACTTCTGCTCTGGGTTAGTTGTTTCGCAAAGCCACCCGAGACACCTTACGAACAATATACAACGGACGCTCTTAAGAGTAACGCGCTGTAAGAAACACAAGGCGTCACAAGCAGCGGGAACGAGACGCTGTTGTCACATGCCGTGTGACGACCCCTGGCGGCTAGGCCTGTGGACACGCCAAGCGACCCTGGTGGTCAGGCGCCTCAGGCCCCGTGGGAACAGAGCACAGCAGGAGTCTTCTGGGTAGAATCGCATGTTCAGAATCCCATCAGGACTCTCCAAGCTGCCTTTCTAGAAAACTTAGGAAAAAATCAGGAAGGAGGAAAAGATGCCTGCTTCCTGCTGGCCAGAGCGCACGGCTGACTGGTTCACAAGGTCACCACACACCAAGGGGAGGGGGTCCGTGCTCTGCACGGGAGTCTCCGCCGCCTGTCACTTGGGGACGTTTTGCGTTGCAGAGTGGGAAAGACCATCCTTCCACGCCTACGACTGGGCCATGGCCAACAGGAGCACAGAGAACGCACCGAGCCAGTTGTCGGCACCTGCGGGTCCAGCCCGGACAAGAATGAGGCTACAGGGCTACCCAAAGCCGCAGCGTTGAAGACACAGTGTTGAAGACACATCGCGTGACCCAGCACATCTTTTTAACTGAAGCGAGTGACCCTCCAGTGCCACAGCCATGGGAAGCAGGTGGGGGGCAGCAACCAGATGCTGGGCCAGCGAGGAGAGAACTCTGGGGTTGCTGGCAATGGACACGGTCATGACTGTTTTCCTCAGGGCATCAACTTACTTCCCTAGACAGCTGCACCTCCTGAGGGTGATCAGGCAAAAGAGCCTGGCAGGCAGGGGGTTGGGGCCTAGTCTGGAAAGTGGGGACACCGCTGCCGAACGTGCCGGAGCCCGGGATGGAATGAGCGCGTGTCTCCTGAACGCTGGCCACTGGGCACCGCCAGATGTCCCAGCACTGGGCTGGGGGCTCCCCTGGGGCTTCCCGAAGGTGCGACTTATGAGACCAAAACAAATTTTGAGTTTTTAAATGTACGACGACTGGGAGGAGCAGAGTCCGCCTCCGCCTCACCGTGCTGCCCGCGGGTTTTTGTCCTTCACCTTGGCGGGCGTGGTCGGCTCTTTTTAAAGAACTGAGGAATGACCGGGTCAGTAAGTCTCCCGTCCCCGTCCTGCAAAGTCTGCTCGCGGCCCACTCCCACCTGCTCCTGCTCCAACCTGGGACCAGTCTGGGGCTGGGGGGAGGTCTGTCTTGTGATTCGTCAGACTTGACTGTCATCTCTGAGACGCCTGAGAACTATTTGACTTTCTAGATTTTTATATGGTTTATGTAAGTATTTTTTACTTCAGTATACTGAAAATTAACTTTGAAGTTTATAGTAGAGCAACATTTTCTAACACTTATGACTTCAAATATCTAGTCAGTTCTCCCAATAATCCAGGGAATAAAATGCTTCTCTTTCTTTGATTTGTGAGACTTCCCCTGTAGCACAAAAGGCTTACTTCATCCTAAAATTCAGATAACTGCACGTGTGCCTTTCACAGTAAAACCGTCCGCTGCTCCTTTAGCAGGGCTGTCCCACGTACTCCCTAAGAGCGCACATCTTCAAGATACAGCTGTGTCCGGGCAGTTTTAGAATAAGCAGAAACAATAGTTACTCTCGTTAATTCGATCTCGGCAGAATGTTCAAGCTTACCTGAAGTTCTGTGCTGCATCGAGGTGTGACATCACGATGGAACTGAAATTAAAATGCAGAAAAATACATGACTGTAAAAAGCAGACGCGGCCTCACGTGAAGGCATTTATACCAACCGGAAACGGGCCTGAACAAACCCCTTTTCTTTTTCAGCGCGCAGGTCAAGTCAGACCCTCTAGGACAGTCATTTTTGAACCATGACTCAGGCTGTGTTTCATGCGCAGCAAAGTGCGGGGACGAGCAAGCTAAAGGCTCCCGCATCACAGTCAGAGGAGCCCAGGCGCTGAGAGCAAGTTCAGACGGAAAACACCTCCCGTGCCTTCTCCGCCGCTGGGCTCACCTGGGTCGGTGCCCGGGCCCAGTGCCTGCCTGTGGTCACCCCGTGCTGCCCCACGGGCACTGGGGGACGGTGGCTCACAGGAGAAGTGATCAGACACCGACTTTAGGATTTGGAGCCGCCCTGGCTGCCAGTCCCCTCTGGGCCTCCACCTCCGGGGCGGGGAGCTCCACGGTTCCACCCCCAGACGGGATATCCCCACCAGAGCCTGTGGGCCCTTCCCAGGGCTCGAGACCCGGCGGCCTGGCCGCACAGAGGGGATGTCTTGTGCGGCTCCCAAGGCCTCCTTCACGGAGAGGAGTGTTGCGGGCGGCACACAGGGCGTGGCCAGGACTCTGCCTCTCCCTGCTCAGCTGGTGGACGTGGCCTCAGCCTTCCTTCCTCATCACCAGGCAGTCCAAGCATGGACCTGCCGCACTCTGGCTTCTGGGCAGGTCACCCAAGGGTGCCCTTTGCCAACGCGCACCACTGTTACTCCCGGGCACGCACCAAGCTGTGGGTGTCCGTGTGGGGGGGTTGCCTCAGGGGGAGGGGGGGCAGTGCATATCAGCAGATGTGGACGCCCAGCAGGGGCCACCATGCCCACGAGGCCGCGTACCTGTCCGGGCACAGGGAGACGTAGAGCAGGAGGAGGGGCCCGGCGCCCACGACTGTGGCCAGGGAGGACCGCATCCAGGAGCTGAGCTGGCAGAAGTTGCAGTAGTGCACCACGGCCACCAGGACGGCGGAGCCCGCGAAGACAGTGAACTGCAGGAGCAGGGCTTGGTCAGGGGGGCCTGGCCCAGCCCCGCCTGCACCCAGTTAACACGCCGTTGGGTGTCGCCTATCATCACCCTCCCCTCTGGCCCAGAGGCCGTGTCCGTAGACCGTTAGTCTGCAGCCCACACTTCGAGCTGTTGCCAGGGCTCTCCAGACATGTGGGAATCGCACACGGTGTTCTGGAGGGAAGGGCCGGCCCCAAGAATCACCCTGTGGAATTGGCACCTTCCAAGAGGCCCCCGGCCTCACATCCACCTGCTCCAAACACACGGGCCCCCGCAGCGACTGCGTTCTGGAGTTTTCAGGCAGGCGTCCCCCCCACCCCTACAACCTGAGCACTGACACGGGGCTGAGACCAGCCGAGACCAGCACATTCTCCAGGAGTCAGGGAAAGGGCAGAGAGCTGACCGGAAACCTGGCTAGGCTGAGAGGCAGAGAGGGCGGCATCCACTGTGGGGTGTCGGGCCGGTGGCCCATCCAGCTGCTGGGCACATGGACATCACCAGCTCCCCAGGCTCGGCCTCCAAGAAGACCAGGCTCAGGGTCTGGGGAGCGGTGCCACTCAGGGCTGCTCCTGTGGCTCTGCCCTGTCCCCCAGCCCACCACAGTCCAGAGGACACAGCCGCCGCCACGCCCCACTCACGTGTGAGTCTGTCTGGAATTCGGAGGTGACGTGTGAGTAGACAGCCAGAGCGGGGAGCGAGACCAGGACAGCCCCGAGGAGGTGGCGTGGGACCCAGCCGGAGACCCACTCCAGCAGGTGCTTGGTGCAGGCCATGACGGCCTCAGGGAAGAACACCATCCTGTGGGGGGTGGGGGGATGCCTGGGGTCAGCCTGCCGAAGCCAGGCAGCCCCCATGGCCAGTCCGCACCGCTGTTCAGGCGCCGGGCAGCCAGTGGGCGCCTCTCTTTGGGCAGGCGCCACGTAAGCTGGACCGGAGCCTGTGGTTCTGAGCAGGGCACGCATTACAGGCCAACCCCTCTACCTGCTCCTGGGGCGGGAAGCCTTGACTGTGTTCGGGAACTCTGGGGACCATTTTGGTTGCCCAATGACTGTGGAGTGTTACTGGTGTCTGGGGGGCAGGAGCCAGGACAGGGGGCGCCCACACAGCTGCCACTTGCCCGTCGCCCCTGGAGAGACCCGCTGCCGAGGGCCCAGCCAGCAGCTGTGTTTCATTCACAAACAAGCACCTCATTCTGCTCTCAAAGGTACATCTCGTCTTTTTGACCACCGAGTGGCACCGGCCGACGGCGACCCACAGCCTCTTCACCAGGCGTCCAGTGAGGGCACAGCCTCCTGCTCGATGCCATTGGGAATGGCGCCGGGGCCGTGGCTGCAGCCGCACCGAGCACCTCACACACGACATGCCTCCGTGAAGGAGGGGCAGCAGGGTGGGGGGCAACTGAGGAGGGGCAGGCCTCCGGGAGACAGAGGTTGGGGTCAGGCAGCCCTGGCCCACAGTCAGGGAGGAGGGCCCTGGGGTGTGCCCCGGGGAGACCCAGGCTGTGTGGGACACAGGCCTTCTCTGACGCCAGCCTCAGGGAGGTGGGGCAGACAGGCCCACAGCGGGGTTCTGCACCTGCAGGGCGGTGGCCAATCTGGCTGAGCTCAGCCCTCGGCCACTACCCACCCCCAGGCCCAGTCTATCCCTCTAAGACCCTGGAGGGCCCTGGCTGTCTGGTGTGTGCCCAGTGATGGAGCCCTTGGAGCATCTCCAAGAATAACCACAAATATGCTCAAAGGCAAACGAAACAGGAGCCAAGGCCCAGGAGGCAGCAGCCAGATGGGAGCCTGCGCTAGGAGCCCCAGAGCCTGCTCACAGCAGCCACAGGGGAGATGGCCGCAGGACGGCCGAGGGTCCAGAGAGCTGGGGACAGTGGTGGATAGTGCTGGGCGAGGGAGGGAGAGACTGACCGAGACAGGCAGGAACCTGGGCTGGGGGTGCTGGAGGAGGGGGGGCAGCAGTGCCTATGGGTCTTCCGTGCAACAGAAACATTCTGAAGGTCTGTGCTGGGGACGCTGCCCAACTTGCAAGTTTACTGAAACCAGTGGAGCCGTGCATGCAGGCAGGGGCTGTACTATATGTGGTTATCCCACAATCAGGAGAATTTCAAAAAGGCAAAAAACAAACAAGGAGCCCAAGGAGGCCTTGGGTGGGTCCCCCAGAAGCAGGCCTGGTGGGCAGTGGGTCCCCGCCAGCAGGGAGCGGGGTGTGGGGCTGAGACAGAGGCGCCGGCTGTGCCAGGAGGTGGCCCCGGCTGGCCCTTCAGCTCCGGCCCGGAGCCTGCAGAGATGTGGGGCCTCTGACCCTGGTGGCCTGAGGAAGCCGGGGCCCAGGTGAGAGCCAGGTGAGGTAGAACGGGGTAAGCAGATGATGATGGGGTGAGAGCAACAGGCTGGTGTGGGGGCTGGGTGGAGACAGGTGGTGGGGCAGCAGGGGTAGCCCAGGGCTGTCTATGCCTTCACATCTTGCCAGACTGTGTGGGGCAGCTGCGAACCTCTGCAGGGTGCTGGGCTGAACCCCAACATCAGGTTGGGCAGGGCCTGAGGGCCCCACTGTCTATCCAGACCCTCAGTGTCTCAGTTATGCACCACAGCAACACCCTGACGGCAGACACGGCCCCTGTCACCGCTGTGGTTCTCACCGGTGGGAATCGGGGGGCACCCTTCACTCTGTGCTTTCTGTGAAGCCCAGCCCCCCATTTGTCAGTTGCTTGTGCTTTTTGTGCAGTGGCTCAGAAACCACTGGCCAGCCGCAGCTCGTGACGATGCCCGCACCCATGCTTCCCACAGCCCTGACAGCCAGGAGAGGCCCCAGGCACCCTCCCTGCCCCCACTCACTGCCCGACTTTTTCTCTTCACCTGCTTTCCCCATCCTCCTCCTTTCTCCTTTTACGTTGACGTGGGACCCAGGGATGAGCTGGGGCCCTGGGCTGCAGAGGGCACTGGCCCTCTGGCAAAGAGGGTGCCCCTGGCGAAGGCCAGGCTCTGCCAGTAAGGCTGTGGGGGAGGGAGGACCAGCCACCAGGACTGGCCAGCAGAGGGCGCTACAGGCCAAGAGCTGGCGCACCTGAGGGGGTCTTACCTGATGGAAACCACCAGGGACAGCACCTCCAGCAGCAGGGCCGCCCCGAAGACCCCAAGGGCAGCAGGAGGGGGCGGTGTGCTGGAGGCCCCATATTTCAGGAAGCAGGTAGTGGAGAGAATCAGAAACACGGTGGTTGACAGAAACACGTCCAGGAGGGAGCTGAAGGTGGCGCTGGCGAAGGTCTTCGCGGGAGAGCTCTTCGCCACCTGTTTGGAGGGCAGGCGGGCGTGAGCAGATGCTGGTGGGTGGTGGAGCCCCCGCCCACCCCAGCAGGCACAGGGTGCGCTTGCTTCAGGGGCCGTTTCCCTGCAGTCCCCCACTAACATGAGGAAACTGAGCACAGAGACGCCAAGACTCCTGCCCAGGGCCACAGTGGCGGACCGCAAGCCGGCATGTCCTCCCACACTGCACGCATGAGCCTAGAAGGGGAGTCATCGACTGGCAACCGGGACTCTGTGTCCGGCCAGGCGGTCCCGTGGAAGCCACATGCTGGAAGCTTCCACAATTCAGCACCTAAGCTATGGAAGCTCGGGTGTCACTGCTGGGAGGTGGGCGGACAGGACTCCGGGAGGGTCCGGGACATGGCGAGTTAGCAGAGGCAACATGGAGCCTGAGAGCTCCGGCCCCAGGAGGCAGGAGAGATGCCCCACGGTGGCCTCATGAGCACTCACGCAGCCCGGGAGCCCTGAGCATTCGCCAGATATGGAGCCACTGCCAGGCGGCAGCAGACCGGGGGCCCCTGGGCAGGCCAGTGTGCCCTGCGCTGAGAGCTGAGACCAGGAGGGACCGAGAATGCTGCACATAGGCCTCTAGCATGTGGGGGGCCCGGGGTGCTGCCAGAGCGAAGACACAGTCACAAACGGTTGCAATTTCAGGCTTAGGGATGGCGGGAACCGAACACCCTGTCACTCAGGAGAGTGCCTGCAGGCCCAGCAAACGCGGTGGCCCCCACCTCTTGTTGATAGCTGCTCCTATAGGCGCGCTCCAGCTCCCGGTCCAGGAAGTTCAAGCTGAACTGGTTAATGGGTGGCTTAAAAAAATAATCTTTCATCAGGCTAGAAGAGATGATAAATGCAATTGATCAACATTCAGCTCGGTCGTTACGTGCGTTTCATCAGAAGACTGCAATTAGCACCCAAACCGCCAGCTGTGAAGCGTGTCCAGAGCTGTCTGAAGTCACCACGCCAGGCGCGGCACAGGCCCTGTGGAGGGCCTCGATGAGTCTAAATGTGACCACGCTTCATGTCTCACAAAAGGATGGCCGCTCTCCTTGTGGGAGCGCCCCCCTTCAGAACCTGCGATGCCTGCCTAACAAGCAGAGGGAGAGGACAGCCTGTCTTCCATGAAATGACTCTGAAGGACAGCAGGGCCCCGTGCGAGAGGGCAAGTTGATGTGGAAGCTTCAAGTGAAAATATATTCAGCACCGGCCGTCCTGTAGATTCAGAAGACTGACAGTAATTGCAGCCGTCAAAGCTACCAGGTAGTTACCACAAAACTGTTTACACTTGGTGTCAGCTGGTGCTGGTGCCACCTATGCAGATTGCATGTGAAACCTGAAAAATGATAAAGCTCAATGACTTTATTTTTTTTTTAAAGATAAAGTTACAATTCTTTTTTTTTTTTTTAAAGATTTATTTATTAATTTATACAAGCACTGGGTACAGCAGAAGCGAGGGAGGGTGAGAGGATTCACCAGAGCCAGAGCGGGGAGCAGAACAGGCAGACTGACAAAGTACACTGCTGAGGGGAGCAGCGGGCGGCAGGAGAGGTCTGCGCACCATGTGGGACCCTCGCCAGCAGCTGGTGACCGAACTGGCGCTGCAGAGGCTGTGGGTAGCTTCGCAGCCCAGAGCTCAAGCGCTGCGCCACCAGGGGAGGCCCTCAATAACTTTAATAGCAGAGAGATCAAACCTGCTTTCCGTGCCTCTCTTCTTGTTGTTTGGACTGCTAGCAAATAGTAAATATCCTTTTGATACTGCAGGAAACGACTATGAATGCAAAGGAATGTGAACATGATTTCAAATGGCAAACACAGCCGTGGGGAACAATCTCTCCCTACCACACAGTGACTGCCAGAATGAACTCGGAAGGGATAAAGTGCCTTGCACGTGCCTGACACACAGTAGGCTCACTGGGCATGCACCCCTCCCCTCCCTGCAGCCTAGCGGATTCTCCCTTTCATGGTGAGTAATGCCTTTCTGCATGCTCAGACTCGGAGGAGAGAGAGCTGTTCGATCCTGCATGTTAGTCCCTGCACCTGATCATGCAAGAATGGACAGAGGAAAACACCAAAGCAGCCACAAGGAGATGTGCTGCCACATTCAGCACAAAGTGACAGGTCCACCCTTCTAGAAGCTGCGCTCGCCTCTGTGATTAATACTGGGAAGTTCTGCCTCCAGGCATGGGTAACAGCTCCTTTGGACCAATCCTCCTTCATTTTATATCCATAAGGATATAAAAACGACTCCGGAAGGTACTGGAGATTGACCAAAGCAGGAAGAAAATGGGGGAGAGGCACTCATGTGAGTTCTCCATGTTTTTAACTAAAATGAGGTTGGAAATCCCAAAAGGAGAGAACCAGGGAGTAGGAGCCCCCAATTCTGCATTCAAGCTCCCCTCAGTCTCTGTAAGTCTTAGTGACTCCTGAAATGTGCGTGTGCAGCCAAGTTAAAGCTAAAAGGGCAGCTGCTGCCTGGTTTAGGGAGAGACATTTTGTGGCTTGAGTTCAGAGATGTTAACTGCCTGACCAAACAGAGACTGATACTCTTCAGAGGAATATAACAGAACCCAAAGTTTCTATGCACCATATACAAGGTGTCCAATATACTCCAAATTACTGGATGAAGAGACAGGAAAGATCCATACTGAACGGAAAAGCAACCCAGGGAGACCAGCTGGAGAGGACAGAGAGGCTTTGTATGTATGGGGATGTCACACAAGTATAACAACAGCCCAAGCAGTGAAAAGACAGTGATGGATTCTTAAAGTGTAGAACTGGACCTGGACTGCAGGTCAGGTCCAGTACAGCACCAACGTCATCTGCGTGAACTTGGTAACTACGCCTATGGGATGGGACAGGCTGGCTTTAGGGAGTGTTGTCAAGGGGTAAAGGGCGTGATGTGTGCAACTTACTGTCAAATGGTTCAGAAAAAGTGAAAAAAGTAAATTTCATAGAGAGAGAAAGTGAGAGAAGGGGAGAGAGAAAAGGAGAAAGATGGAGAATGACAGATATAATAAAAATTGGGCAAAGGCTATAAAGAGAATTCTTCGCAGAGGTCATGCAACCTTTCTGGAAGTTTCAAGTTACTTCAAAATAAACCCATGTACTGACCATGGAGGCCGGGCATGGCGCGAGGGTAAGCGAGAAGTGGGTGCCCCGTCCTGACGTCTGCTCCAGCCCTGCTCCGCCCTTACCTGTCTTCCTTGATAACATCCACAAAATGGGCATCTGTCTTTTCCCGGATGTTCTTGAATCTCAGGGGCAGGAGAGCAGACTGGTCCAGGCTCACGCCCGCCCACTTCCCCTTCTCCTGTAGGATCTCACACAGCGAGGTCTGGCTGTTGGTAAGCTTCTCCTCCTGGGGTGGGCTCAGCAGGCCGTTCTGAGTTTTGGAAGTAGGCCCTCCGGAAGCCTGCCTCAAGACAAGGAAGAGCAAGCAAAGATTGCAGAGGGGGTGCCACAAAACCTTCCCCCTTCTCCCCACCCCTCCCCACTCCCCTGGAGTCCCACTGACTATGCTGCAGGCTGAGACCTGCAGCTTCACGTGCATCTGCCTCTCCCCTATTGGCAAGTGGGCCTCAGGTGCCAGCCGCTGGAAGGAGGTGTGGTGGAAGAGCTGGGAGGGGTGGGGAGGCAAAGTCTCAGGGAAGATCTGAGGTTTCTGGATTTGCAAACCACTGACCCAGTGTTCCGGGGCTGGGGGGAGGCTGGGGGGTTCGAGGATGGATGGTTCAAGGAAACCAGCGCTGGGACTTAAGAGAAGGGGCCACGGGCTAAGTGCCAGACTGAGTGCTCCCACCAGCCCCCTGGGGGATGGCAGAGGGAGGCTTGTTGGGCGTCCCTGGAGCCAGCCGTCTTGGCTTTCTTGACAGGGCTCTTGTTGGGCCCTGCTGCCCCCGTGCAGGCCTGTCTGCAAGCTGCGGGCACGTCCTGAGGAAGCCCCTCTGCCCTGAGTCGAGGCCACTCCTGGCCCCCATCACTCACCCACGCTCCCAGCTTCTACTCAGGAGGGAGCCCCGTCCAGCTTAGCAAGTGGCCACCCCCACCCCCATCCTGCTCTTTACTGTCTATGCAGAGCCCAAGGGGTGGGGCTGGGGCGAGGAGGAGCGTCAGAACCGAGAGTCACCTTGGGTGGGTGCGCCAGGAGAGGAACTGACAGGAACAGCGGCCAAGAGCCCGTTACCTTGGTGCTGCTTTTCTGCTCCTCTTGACAGCCATTCTGGACTGTCCCTCCTTCGGCACCTGCTTCTGACTTGGGCGCAAACGTGATTCCACACGAAGGGCAGGTCTGCGAGAAAAACACGGAGCATAGGAACACACCCAGCAAACAGGGCCAGGAAATTCAAGCATGGCCGCTGCTGTTGCTACGTGCTGGCTCAGAGAATGGCTGTCACCAGACAAGGCTTAGACCCGCTCAAGCTCGCGTGGAAAATGAAGGGACAGAGTGAAAGCAGAAGCTGGCCCGGAGCCTGCACAGCGGCGCTGAAGGAGGAAACGGCCCACGTGCCCATCCGCAGACCACGGCTCAACAAACCAGGGTCTAGCCCAAGGTGGAATATTATTCAGCCATCAAAAGGACGAAGTGCTCACACTAATACACTTGGATAAAGTGTGACAATGTGACGCTGAGGGAGAGAAGTCAGGCCCCAAGTCAGACCATCTGCAGAGAACGTCCAGAAAAGGCAAATCCACAGAGATGGAAAGAAGCAATGTGGGCACCGGGGGTGAAGGGATAAGGGGCGAGGGGGTGACTCTACGGGGTGGCAGGATTCTTTCTGGGGTGATAATGACTGTGGTGATGGCTGCAGAGTCTCGCGAGTAGAGCAGGGGACCTGAGCTGTGCCCTACAAGGAGGCACTTTTGGACTCTGCTGTCATACAGACTGGCCCGGAACCCAGACTGAGCACCAGGCGGGCGCTCGACTCTGCCGAGCCGCTCCGGGGTGCGGGGGCTGCTGACAGTGGGGGATTCTTAAAAGCCTATGGAAACAGGCCGACCTAGAAGAGAGAAGCGAGGCTAGGCTCGGCAGGGACAGGCTTGGGCAAGGCTCGAATTTCTCACAGACCAGCCTCAAGCCCCTCCCGGAGATGCCCGTGGAGACCTCGTCCCTCCACTGTCACGTCTGTCAGGTGAGGGAGGGGCCTTCAGGCAGGCATGGCGGGGGGGCTGAGCGCGCAAGAGCCACCCCACCCCGGGCACTCAGCACTGGGCTCTCAGTGTGGCCTGGCAGCCCGAAGCTGCCACCAGGGGGTTTCCCAGGGAGAGGACACCCCGCAGCAGGACTTACCAGGACCTGAGATGCCGGCCTTGCGGCAGTTGTGTGCAGTGGACTGCACTGAGGAGGAGGCTGCTGTTTCACACGTTTGACACACATCTTTATGGTCCAGGCCAGAACCCAGGCCCGTCCCAAGTTAGAGTTCTAGACAACACGACAGTGGCTGGAAGAAGCCGAGACCCTGGCGAGCTGTGTAACCCGGAAGGCTGCTGCCGGCACCAGCTACACCTGGACATTGTCAGTTACTAGGAAATGAAAGCAGCTGAGCTCCAACAGGCCCGAGCACGCAGCATGGAGAGAGCCCATCAGGCGGCGCCTACAGCCCTTTACAATCCACCTCCGACTGTTTCCACTGTCAGAAACACGCCACAAAGTCGTCTCAAGCGCCCCTTGGCACCGAGCTGAACATTGACATGTGCTGCCACGAGGCCTCGCGCTTCTCACGTGAAAAACCACCCAGCCCCCGGTGCCGAGTGGCCTGCCTTCTCAGGGCCAACTGGCTTTGGGGGAGCAGCGGCAGTGTGCGGGCCCCTGCCACCCTGGCCCTCACAGACATGAGGACACAGCAAACAGTCACTTCTCTGCACTGTTACCCGCAAGCCTGGAGACGCGGGGAGACTGTGGGGACACCCGGCTTCGGAACCACCGCCCCTCTGCTCTACCACCGAGGGGCTGGGAATCTCCAAGCCTCAGTTTTCTCCTGTGCAAAATGGGATTTAATCTCCCTCAAAGAATTATCCTAAGGGCAAAAAGAGGACAGACAGGTGAAGCTTGTCAAAGGTCTAATTTTGGCACACTCACTCTGACCCCTGGGACCACCGAATTGAGGACAACGATGAGGCCACATCCTAAGGAGAACTGTGATTGATTGGTGATGCCTGCCACAAGCAAAGGGCTGGAAAAGAAGCCCTCTTGATCGACTGGTGAGGTCTGCCTCGGGTGAAGGGCTGGAGCAGGGGAAGCACATGCATTGGCCATGGCTGGCTGGCACAACGCCTGAAGAGATGGTGGGTGCTTCATACATGTTGGTGCTTAGTGTCACAGCCTCTGGGGAGTGTTTTCTGGTAATGAAGAGACAGCACCTGATAGTGTAACAGCCTCGTCTATGGCATCCTCGTCTATCTGCTTCTATCTGGGGGTTCCTGCTATCTAGGGGGCTCTTGGCATCTGTGTTTCAAATTATTGTTCTCTCTAGCACTCCCGAGGCACTTCACAAACAGGTGTCTCATCTGGATTCCCCTGGGCACACGGACTGTTCACACATGAGATATTTTGAGCATCATAGAAAAAGAATGTGAAAGGTGACATCACACTTATCAGACACCAGAGGGCTCACGGTCTCTGCAGGGATCCCTGGATGGGATGAAGGCCGCACAGCTGCAGATACATGCCCTCTGCGAAGGTCTCAGCTGCCAAGGGTTGGCAGGAAGGCTGGGGGGAGTGGGGGGCCGGAGCTGGATAACTCAAGGCTACAACCCTTTGACAACAGAGGCCAAGCAGCCGGCAGTCGCATCTAACACATGGACACATGTATGACACAGGGTGAGGCCTCACAGAGCTGCCCGCACAGGCCCTTGGAAGCAGGGGCGAGACAGATGTGGGCGGTCACGGCTGTCAGGGTCACATGCCCAGCAGTGCAGAGGGGGATCCCTATTGGGATCCCTGATGGCTGAACAGCGCTCACGGCTCACACTGCTACTTTGCTTTTGGGGGAAATTTTGTTGACTAAAGCACTAAAACGAATGAAATAAAAATCATGGAGAAGTCATCTGCCCCAAAGGAGGCATTCTCACACCCCACCGCCCCCCTCAAGCTGAAGCCCCCCTAGACGGTCCCACTATGCTGCATCATAGCGGGGCTCGTCCCCCTTCTCCACACCCCCATCAGTGCCCTTTATCCTCCAGCTTCACTTTAATGGGGTTGCAACTGGATCTTTCAGGCCAAGCAGGACCCCTCGGTGAAGCTCAAGCAGGCCTTAAGCACGGCCCCACCCCCTGCCAGAAGCTGGAGCTGCGAAGTGTCCGGCATGCGGGAACTACCCAGGGCTCCTCCCTCTGGCTCACAGGGAAGCCATGCTGGCAGGCCCCCTGCGGTGCCCCCTTGCAGGGGGTGGGGTGGGGGGCAGCAGCTTCGGCTTCAGCTTCGCTCGCTGATCTCACTGAATCCTCATAACAACCCGGGAGCACGAGCAACCCTGGGGCAGAGACACTCGTCCACCATGGGGGGCCGTGGGCCGCCTGCCTGTTCCCAGGCCACCCCGGCCTCCCCCATGCCAGGCTCTGTAGGAAGATGGACGGCGACAGCGTCTCCCTCACCCGGCGCATGTGCATGTCGTGAGCACACTCCGACACTCGCACCCTGCGTCTGCCAGGAGTCTGTGGCCAGAGCTACGGAGTGGTTCTATCTGCAGGGCGATTGCTCTTCACAAGATAAATAATTTCCAAGCCGACAGCTGTCCCTTTTCACCGCTGTTAAGGGCGGGAGCGGGAAACCTCTCTTCTGAGAACTGAGGAGGAAGCAGCGGCAGAGCCTGGCCCGGCCTGTTGAGTCCACCGCGGCGGCCGGGTCACGGGAGCTCTGGGCTCAGGGTGGCCGTGGGGCAGAGTCCGGCCCACACCCTGGACGCCTGTGCAGCAGGCCGGCCATGAGCCCCGCTGGCAGGTGAGCAGCCTGGCAGACATGTCCTTAGAGCTGGCCAGGCGTCTGGCCACCGAGCGGGCCTGGAGCGGCAGCTCTGCGTGACAGCCTAGCCGGCCGCAGGCCTGGTCACCACACGGGGCGCCCAGCAGGCCTCCCGTCCCCACGCTGCTGAAGCGAACGGCCAGGCACGGGCATGCGTACGTCAAACAGGTGGATTCTGCTGACAGAACACTGACAGGATGGAAGCACGCCGTGAGAGGAAGGAGCAACAGAAAGAGGCTGCCCCGCGTGCGGCTAACAGACAACGGGTGCAGAGGATAAGGCTTGTACTTGGGGAACCTCATCTCCACAGTGCTTGGCCCCCGGGCGAAGCCAGTTAGGTGGCACCCAACGTGTGATCTCATTCCAGTCCACAGACAATGCACAGCACACACATTTATGCTTACATGATGCAGTACCATAGAATGAAAACAGAACAAACTGCTAATGCCAAGTTAAATTTCACCTTTCTGAGCGTGACAGCCTGACAGATAGGGGAAAGTGGTTCAAGCCCCAGGGTGGGCGCCTGGCATGCTCTCGACAAAGCCATGGACACCGCTGGGGCTCTGAGCCGGGGCAGCTCCATGGCCCGAGGTCCTGCCCCCACCATGGTGTCTGACCGCCCCACGTCCTGACCCTGCAGCCTGACCCGGCCTGGTCTCTCCTGTCTTTCAATGACCTTGTCGCTGCTGAGGAGCCCCAGTCAAGTGCTTTTCAGAGTGTTACTGAACTTGGACTTGTTTGATGCTTTCCCATGGGTCAACTGAGGCTTAGGATTTGGGGGAAGCACCCCAAGAGGTGTTATTGCATCGCCACAGGTCTCCCCTGGGGTTCAGGGTCCACTACATCTGCGGAGTCACATCTGTCGTTAGCACGTTGTGTGGGTGATGAGTCTCCCCATTGTCTGATGTGGGTGGGGCCTGCCAGGCCGCCCACTGCCACGCCTCCCTCCCTCCCACCCCAGCAATGATGAGGGGATGCAAACGGCCTTTTCCCCTGAAACTGGAACCCACTGATTTCAGAATTCACGGGTGGGCTGACCCATCCCCTCAGGGGGCTCCTCTCACCCAGTCCCCTGGGCCCCCACGTCGGCTCCTGGGTCTCATCTGGCAATGAGAGCTGCCAGTGGGTGTGGGACCTGCACTACCCCAGCTGGGGCGACACACGACTTGAATACAGAGGATGCATGAAAACTCCTTTTTAAAAAGCGAACTTCATGTCCACTTTCAGAGTCAGCCGTCAGACTGTTTTCCTGACAGTTTTATCGAGACACAGTTCACCCACCACACACGTCAAGTGTGGTTTCTAGTAAATTCGTGGAGTCGCGCAAGTATTGCTACTGTCCGCTCAGACCACCGCGTTAGACACTGATCCAGTGTCTGAACCAGAGAGACCCACACTGGGCCTGTTCACGACTTTACAAGCAAATAACAAGGAGATAAAGGGAGTAACTGTTTACTTGGCCCATTGACAGAGGCCAGGTAGCCAGGAAGGGCAAGCAGGACCCTTGCAGTGACAGCCCCTGTGGGCCGCCAGCCCCGGCTTCCTCGCCGCACGATGCACATGGCCTGCAGCGGGATCCGAGCCTGGCCGAGGGGGCCCCTGGAGTGACCAAGCAAGAGCTCACGGTTCCAGCAACAGGACCTGGCCGCCAGGCCGCCAGCCCCCTAAGATGCCGTCTCCACAACGCCAGCCCAGTCTTGAACCTGCATGACCAGCAGCCCTCTCCTACACTGGGGGGGCGCTGCCTGGGGCGGGGGCCCTGCTGGGAGGGGCTGACCACAGAGCAGCAGCAGCGACGAGGACAGACGCCAGGCCCCAAGAAGGGTGAGGAGCTAAGCTCTCGGGGTGCTGGCTGTCGGGCCCCCCCCACCCCGACACCTGCACAGACAACCCCCAGGAACCCGGGAGCAAGCAGCTGGCACTTCCCATTTCTACTGCTCAAAAGATGGTACTTGAGGGGAGGCCTAGTTACAATCGACCTGACCTTGCACACACACCACTTTCTGCCCGTCATCGAGTCTGCTATCAAGTTGGCAAGGATGTGGTCAGTGACGGGGTTCCCTGCTCCCCGCATGGACACAGGAGGGCAGGCGGCAGAATCGTGAGGGGGAATCCCCCAGACTGCCAAGCCTACAGTGGAGAAGGGCCCCTCCCACTCCGTAGGATCCCAGTAATTCTGATTTTCCGGATGGCTCCGGCCTCAGGGAGCCTCTCCCCAACACCATCGGAACATTCCGGAAATGGTACCTCAAGATCCAACCCGTCCTTCCTGGGAGGTGCTCAAGTTCCTTTTAGGAATCACAGTCAACTCTACAGTCACAAGGTTCTAGAAAACGCTGAGTGAGTCTGGGAAACGCACACGTGGCAACAGGACACGTTAACCAGTTTTTGCCTGTCTAGATTCACGAATAAGCATAAATTTAAATTTAAAAATTTAAACAGAGCAAGAAATGCTTTTTTTGGATGAGAGAAGCCTCCTTAGGGCAACTTGGCAGAGTGGCTGCTCCAAAACAGGCACCCTGCACCCGTGGGTGACGCGCACAAGCACCCTGCACCCGTGGGTGACACGCACAAGCACTCTGCACCTGTGGGCAGCGCACTCGCAACCTACAAAATAACAGACACATGAATCGCTTCTTCGGGGGCTTGGCGTTCTAGTTCTCTGCTTAAATACAGTTCTGTGTGCGGCTGAGGAAATCGTCTGTCCCCAAACAATAAACCACGCGTGCAAGGCCGTGCCTACACGGGCCTCCCTGCCGCCCTGCTGGTGTCTTGGAGCTGCACTCCTCCGAGGATAGGGGGGGCACCTTCACACCTGTCCTACCGGTACCCCCGCCGGGCGACCACCTCCCGCACCCATGGGGCATCAGGCAACATCTGAGACAAGCAAGTCTTCACCCTGGGAGGAGGGGGTGCTGCTGGCAACAGTAGAGGGTGGGGAGCTGCTCGGTAATCCCCACAGAGACTTATCTGCCCAAGATGTGGGAGCGCAGACGCTGAGAGAACCTGCAGTGACCTCACAAAGCCCAGATAAAAGTGACAGATGAGCCGTCAGCAACCCAGAGCAGTGACACTCAGACGGGGGACAGGCCAGCTGGCGCCACCCCGCGGCGGCCCGTCTGGGCAGCACCAGCACGCTGGCCTTCAGACCTGGGGTGAGCAAGAGAGGCCGGGACACACTGGGACACATTGGGCAAGAGGCCGTCCCGCTGGCCCACACAGTACGGGGCTGCCTGGACTCCAAACAGCCACGAGGAATTGTCCTCGTTTTTTTAAAATGTGGAAAACAGCAACTCTCTGAACTACGCAAGCAAACAAGAGCTACCAGTGGGAGGCGTGAAGCAAATATGGAAGCTGCAAACATGGCCCGGCCATGTGGCTCATCCCTGGCCCGTTCACGCCCAGGGAGTCCCATGGTCTCGTCCGCAGGCCCTGCCCCAGGGATGTGTGTTCTTGGCCCAGCCGGCCACTTGTGAGCCCCAGACCCACAGCCTTCAAGGTGACCACGAAAGCCTGGATTTGCAGAGACGCGTGACATCAGACCCAGGGGCTCTCAAACCAGACTTGGGAGATCCCCCTTCTCCACGGGGCTCGTTGGCTCTCAGATACCCCAAAAGAAGTCACGGGTCATGGACAAAGAAAGGAACAAGCCGAGGGAGAAGCGTGGCTATGTGATGCAGGAAGGAGATGGGGGAGCGTCTGTGGCAAAACAGCGAAGATACTAAAAACGCAAAATGCCACCAACTTTATCAGTGAATTTAGAAGCCGTAAAACCAACTGCAGAGCATCCAAGGTGCCTGCCACAGGCCCAAGGCTGCTATTTTTCACATGTTCTACTGCGGAATTAATATAAAGCTTTAGAAGTAGGAAAAAAAAAAACTAACCTTAAGGTTATCAAAGGTTTTGACAGTCTGTGCCAAGTCACTGACACTCCCTGGCGACGCTGTCCCCTGTCCCCTAGGGCCTGAGGACACCCGTGAGCCGTCAATGACCTCGAGGCCAGAAAGCAAGGCCTCTGAGCAGCTGCAACGAGGCTCCTTCGCTCTCTGACCCGCTATCAGGTATGTCTTCAAACCTACGGACGAAAATTACAGTCAGCACAGCTTCAACCACCGTGTGTTGAGATGCAGCTCGATCTTGCTCCCCGCGCAGGCCCCGCTCCTGGAAAGTCGAGAGTAAAGCGAAAATGTGAGTGTCACAGCCTCCTGCTGAGTCCACCACCTCTCAGAAATGCCCGCCCCTCGGGGACCACGAGCCCCAGCAGCTCTTCTTACCCACATTCTGGCTCCCTGGAGTGGCTTCTCTGTGGAGGGCAGGGAGGAGCACCCAGGGTGCCTCTGTGAGAGCAGAAGAGCCCCATGGGGTTGGAGCTGCTACGCTTTGTGGGTTCCCCGTCAGCCACGGACATGTACAGCAGAGTGCTGGGGAGCGCAGGCCACTCCCCCACGCCAGGAGCCACACAGCTCCCAGGAGAAGCTGGCCCCACTGCACCAGGCGGGACTCAGAGCCTCCCTCCTTTTGGACTCAAAAAGTATCTGTTTTCTGTAGGGTCCAAGCCTACAGCGGGGACACGCAGCTTTTGTCTGCCTGCCATCTGGGGACCCTCGCTCTCATAAAATCTCATGAAAAAGAAAACCTGGCCAAATCACCAAGGACGCTGCACCCCACGGCCCTGGTCCAGGCCAAGCCAGGCGTTGCAGCACACAAGGCCCTGGCCCCGCCCGTCTGCAGGGAGGGCGTAGGGGCAGTTCCTCCAGACAGGACTTGGGGGATTTCTGGAAAAAAAGCAAAACTTCCGTGGAGAAATCCACTGTAAGTCCTCACTGGAATTTAGCCTGACTACAAACTCAGTGACGGGAGTGAAGACGTCATTTATCCAATAAACACGTCTGACCTGGTGCTGGTACAGAGAGCAGACTCAGGGCAGGGTCCTGTCTGGAGAGTTTATGCTGCAGCGGGAGGGGGAAGGAGGCGGGAGAAGCGTCTGAGCGCCAAGTCCTCAGTTACTTACGCTGGGTACGGAGCTAATGAACGCTTTAAAATTAATTCCTTGGATTACCTAGGGACTAATCAATAGACCTTAACTACTCCACTATTTCATCACTTAATCTCTCTTCAGCCCCTCCGCTCTCACAGAAATACTATATGGTGGTTATGCTTTAAGTCCTCTCTCCTGAGAATTTGGACAGTCCTGAGACGCCCTGTGGGCGGCTGAGCTACAGGTAGAATCAGAGAATTAAGCAAAGAATCCAGATGCTCACTGACCCCCAAAGCGGGGAACCAAACGCTCACTCTTAGCTCTACAGGCCCTAAACTTCTGGGCCTATTTTTTCCTGGGGTTTTTTTTTTTCCTCCAACAAAAATATGCATCCCAGTCAGCACCCAGACCAGTCCCACCGTGACTAACTGCATGTACAAGCCTGACAGGAGGACATGAGTTGGAGGAGACAGTAGCGTGAAAACGCCTATGTGTGGATTTGTCCTGCCCGGGGCATAAAAGCCGTGGCCTCTGCGGGCTGCCCAGGTCAAGTCCCACTCCAGCCCACCTGGGCATCTGCCAGTGCAGGACCTGGGCCCTGGAGCTGCCCCATGGACCCTCCCCGACCCCCAAACATGGGGATCAGTCACCGGGCAGCACATGGGGGGCAGTGCGGCCGCTGCAGAGGACTGCTTTGGGGAGCAGGGGATGGAGGACAGTTTTGACTGGAGGGGTGAGGAGCAGCCAGGGGAGGGTTTCCACAATGCCTAAAGCTGGCTGAGCTTAGGATGCTATTCCCTGGGAGACGCTGGCACCCCAAGCCGGGGCCCAGGTCAGGTGACTACACCCCCCACCCCTGCAGCTCCAAAGTGAAGGTGGCCTTGCTGGACCTGGAGGAGCGGCCACCACAACCCCGAAGAGGAGCCTGCAGCCGCAGGCCCCAGGCCCAGGCTACATGGAGCTGCGGCTTCCAGGTCCACTTACGGCAGGTCCCGCTACCACCTCCCACCTGCCTCACTCTCTGTTGTTGCAGGGTCAGGAAGGAAGCAGCCTGACCCTGCTCTGGGGCTTCATGCAGAATCCCTGGACGGGGCAGTTGAGGGTGCTGTGGGGCCCAGCAGAGGGCACCGTCCACAAACTGGGGTAGAGCAGGCAGGGGCTCCAGGGACATGGCTCCCAGCTGAGGCCTGGAGGTGCAGGGTCAGCCCAGAGAGCGCCACGGCAGCGGGTCCCAGAGAAGCCGTGCACAGGCCCAGAGGGAGACCCTGTAGGCACAGCTGAAGGATGGCGGCGAGCTTGGTGGGGCTGCAACAGAGAATGTGGGAGGCTGGAAGGTGGCCAGGGATGATCTGGGAGGCAGGAAGTCACAGCAGAAACAGGCCTCAACCCCCCAAGTGAGGAGGTGGAAGCAAAGCTCCCCCCACCCCAGGCCGACCTGGAGGAGCAGTGACAGTGGGGGGGTGGCCTCGGCTTCTCCACCCCCTAACCACGGGGCCCGAGGGGGCAGATGTGAGGGTCCCTAACACAGGTGCCCCAACCGCAGAGCCTGGCACGGGGCAAAACTCAGGCTCAGATTCAGTGATTATCAGCAAGGGAGGGGGCAGCGGGTGACCTGCTTATCCTGGGCGTCCTTTCATGCCCTGTCTGTGCACAAAGGCACTTGAAGAGCTGCTGAACCAGTAACTGCTCTGAATCTGCTTCTCACTTGACGTTTTCTTCCGCAAGCCCCCGGGGCCACTCTCACTGATCTGCCACCGCGGTGCTCTGAGGTCAGAGGCGCACCCGAGTCCACAGCAAGCCAAGCTGTGAACAAACAGAGCCTCTCTCCTCCTCTGGGCCCCAACACAGAGAGGCAAACTGAAGGCGGAACTTTGGCCTGAACTGGGGGCTACAGGTGTGATCAGGGGCTTCGCGGCACCAGGGCTGGCACTGAGCTCCCGCCCGCCCGCCTTGCCAGAGTCCTGAGCCGCGCGTGCAAGAGATCAAGTGTAATGAGTAACTACACGCCGGGACTCCAGGGTCTAAGTTCATCAGAAAGACTTTTTGGGAGCAGAAAGTCAAAATGTGGCAATGTGGCAGTTAAATGATTTATTTTGATCAGTGGGGTGTGAACGGGAGAATGATTACCAAGATGTCTCACTGTGTCTTCTGTAATTGATTTTAAGTCCACCAACCAGGTTTCTGGGGCTGAGCCTGGAGACGCTTCCTAGTCTGTGGCTGTGAGGCTAGAGCCTGGCGTGGCCAGAGCCCAGTGACGCCGGAGCCCAGCGTGGCCAGAGCCTAGTCTGTGGCTGCCATTCCAAAGTCTATCATCACCGCTCTGAGGACAGCCACTGACATGCACTCGCTGTGGCTCAGCCCTGGTAGACTAAGTATGGTCTGATGGTGGATGTCAAAATCCATTTTGGAAAAGAGGGATCGCTCTGGCCTCCATGCTGGGGTCCTACTCCAGGGGGCCCTTGCATTGGTGGGTGAAGTCCTCAGTCACCCACAATCAGGACCTGCCCGGCAGCTCCAGGGGGGAGGAAGGGGCACCATGAGCCGCAGCCTGGAGCTCGCCCCACTGGGAGCACCAGCCAGGCTGGGCGCTCCAAACTGCAGCTCCGTCCCTGCTGAGGTCTGTGGCAGCCTAGCAGGGAGAAGGGTTATTTAAACCCAAATGTAGCTGGTCCTCAAGGAAAGCCACGACTGAAAATGCCCCTAGCCTACCAAGCAGCCGGGCCACCGCAACAGGCTGGTTACGGCATTACCCAACGCTCCTGCTTAAGGAAACCAGATGTTTTGGTGAAAAACAAGACACATTTTTACCTTCCTAACATGAGGACACTCTGGGCAGGTCTAAGGCCCTGCTAGTCTCCGCCAGACATCATAAGGACAGTCCTGCCGGCTGCCCCAACAGGTCACGCTAAACCACGGGCTCCGCCAGCAAGTGGCTGTCAGTGAAATGAAGGTGGAGACAGAAGGCTGTGGCTGCCAGGGCCCGCGGCGGGGTACTGGGGCCTCTGCTGACGGCATGGGGCTCCCTCGGGGCGTGATGGAGAGTGAATGGGGTGACGGCTGCAGAACTTGAGTCTACTACGCTCCACTAAATTGCACACCTCTGAGGGGTGAAGAAGTCTGTGATGTCTACTTCCATGAGCTGCTTTTAGAAAAGAGAAGAAACTGCCCTCCCACCAGAGCTTCCACAAGGTGTAGCAGGATGAGGGTCAGAGGAGCAGCGCTGGTAAGAGGAGCACCCTGGGGCACCAGGCAAAGGAGCGGGCAGGGCAGGTGAAGGGAAAACGTGAACACAAAGGATTGAGACAGACAACATGGTCGAGCTGCACTGGAAAAACTTAGACAAGAAAAACGGCGAAACAACCTTGAAGGATGACACGCTCAACATGGCGAGCGCCCAGAAGTCTGGGAGAGATTAAACAAAAGAAAACAGAGCTTTGACCTTGACGGGCTATCGCCAAGAATCATCTAATTTGCAAAACCCTCACAGCCTGGGTCAGACCTGACAGAGCTGGGACCACCCAGCGCCCAGCCGCCCCGGCCTGCGGCTTCCCCCTCGCCCAGAACATGGGTCTGCAGACGTGTCTTCCCTGGGCTGGGGGCCAAGTGCCCGGGACCTGCTCAGAGCCTCCTCTGAGGGGGGCAGCTGCCCGCCTCACCCAGAAACCCCATGTCACATGAAGCAAGCCCAGTTCCTCACTCCCGAGGCCCCTTCTTGGGAGGAGATGCCCGGCCTGACACTGCGGGCCACGGCAGGGTCTGGCAAGGGGCTGCCACGGTCCCTTCTGCACAGGCTGATGCCGCTGTGCCTCCAGCCAGGGGATGGAGGGGTGCGGCCAGAGGAGGCTCGCGGGCATGTCCCAGAATCCAGGCCAGGGTCTCACGGTGCATCACGAAGGCACAGATGAAGACAAGCCCCACGTCCACTGCCAGTGGGGCAGACGGACGGACGGTGGCCCAGGACACAAGGACGGCGGTGTGGCCAGATATGACCAGGGCAGCCACAGGCAGGGGCTCGAGGGGCCAGAAGTAAGCTGGCAAGGCTTTGTGTGCTCACGGCACCAGCTCAGACTTCCTGCCCTTCTGCTTCTGGCCCTGCA